ACAACTTTATTGAAATCATTCACAAATAAAGAATCCTTTACCGATTTGAAGTCAATAATCCCTTTATTCTGCTTCAAGGAGTTTTGAATGTAGGTGATAACATTAATGTTATCACTTTCCACAATCACCCCTTTATAGTCCCGCATCCAGCTTTTGACATAATCCTTGACCGAAAGAATTGCTCCCATTTCCAGCTGTGCTATGTCCCAATGAATCATATTCTCCCCGAATGCATGGATGAACCTTCCATTATAATCCCGGAACACATGACCAATTCTAGCTAAACCAGAACTAGTTAAGGAAGCATCAACATTGATTTTCATCCATTCTTTCGGTGGGGGGCACCAAGAAATTTGAGACTCCCTAAGGAGGTTAGTGCTCCAGTTAGAAAGAGACGGACTTGTCTTGCTACAAGAAAATGGGTCAATAGCGACCAAAAAATTAGAGACAAAAAAAAATTGGTCGCTAAAGATATGTTTTAGTGACCAAAAGTAAGTGTGACCTCTAAATAATAAGGAATCTAGATATTAGCCACCAAAAAGAAAAATTGGCTGCAAATTTTGTCACTAAAAGTCTATAGATTTATTTTCCACAAATATATACATGTCATTTTAGTGACTAATTATTCTTTTTAATTGTGTACATAATACATCTATATCTATACTACTATTATAAAATCCGTTTGAATTTCCTTCCAACTTAAATCTTAGCCATCCATTTTTTTTTTTAAATTATATGGTCCATTCATTATATTTTATGTAATTAATAAATTTAGAAATTAATGATAATTGTGCACATTAATTAGGTAAATTAATGACGCCTGTGAAATTGCAACAAAATATGTTTTTAATCTTCTTAAAACCCGCTTCAGATTCCTTCCATCGTATAATTATGAGCATTATTTGAGGTTTCATACATTTTATAAATTAATTATGTAAGTTAATTACGCTTATGAAATTAAAATAAATATTTAATCTTCTCAAACCCCGCTTCAGATTCCCTCCATCGAGTACGTGATTTCGCGCTTCCTATCTGAAACCGCGATTTCTCTTGCTCAGACTCTTCAGTTTGCCCTAGACTTCCCACTGTTCGCCGTCTTCTCCGCCGATAGGGTCTCCACCGTAAGGGTTTCTTCAATATTTCAGCCTCTTCAACTTCTATTAAAACGGTTCTTCTTTCCCACATCTATTTATTAGTAGAATTCCATAGTAACATTTTCTATTTCAGTTTCCGTATGCTTCGTCTACTCGCATCTAGCATGATCGGTGGAAGGCGAAACGACAAAGTCGCTCAAATCACAATCGTGATTCATTTCAATTTCGACGTTCCAATCCGTTTTCATTACCAATCCACTTCATCAGCACTTTGTATACCTAATATTCACAGTAAAAACAAGAAGACGAAGCATCATATACATTGAATGGCTGAATCACAAATGTTGGCATCTTTGAAGTTCTATCGACAGCTTCATGTACTATAAAATACAGATAAGATTGGGGATTTCATTCTAGGTCTTATAAAACTGAATATCTTACCTTTTGATAATTTGATAAAATTGAATATCGTGTGCTTGTCCTTCAGAAACTATTGAGAAAGGAATCCTGGAAGGGTGAGTTATAGAATGATGTAATCAAACCCTTACACTTATTTTGTTTGATTAAAAGCCTCAAAGAACAGTTATTGGGTAAATTACTTCTCTACAGATGTTTTGATGATTGTGGCAAGAAAGGAGTAATCCCGTTGTGAAGGGCAAGCTTGAAGCTCTATTTGGGGCAATTAACTATCTTGCATAAAAAAATCACTTTTTTTTCTAAAGCATTGGCCTTCTCTATAAAATTATACTTATATGAATCAGATTATTCTTTCTTTGAAATTATATAGCTAGAGCAACAGATTATGGAAGCATATGGGTCGCTCCAATGATATAAATTTAATATTTTTCAAGGTTGGATTTAGTGGACGGAGGTGAATAGAAAAAGTTTACACACTATTTATCTATGGCCCACTTGAAGTTCTGCTTAGCTTGAGTTGTCCATGTTTTGATCCCTTATGGCCCACTTGGCTTTGGAGTAAGCATCTCTTCTGCAATTTATTTTCCTTTTTATCCAGCACTCAACCATCTTTATTATTCAATTATGAAGTTCAAGATAGATTTTGAAACCTTTTTCTTG